GTCATCAGAGGGAGGCTGTGGGGAGCCGCTGCCCCAGCCCCACCGGACGCTGTACCCACTCTCAGGACACCTCCCAAGGCTTACTCGAGCATTGGGTGAAGCAGCAAGGAACAGCTGCCCCGTTTTCCCTGTTACTGCAGCTCTGTGGTTACTGGTCCTGACTCCCTTAGTAACCAGACGACTGTGACTAATAGCGGCTCCTGGGACAGGCCACGCTCCCAGCCCGCTAAAGAGAAACTTGTTCCATGGGGCTGGCAGGTGACGTGGTGGTTAAAGGTGCTGGATTCCCACATGGCCAACTGCAGTTTGAGTCCTGGACCTGCTGGCTTGCTTTCTCACTTTCCCTTTCTCTCGTTCTCTGTCTGGTCAAATTAAAAAAAAATAAATAAATAACAATAACAAATTGAATTAAATAAATAATTCTTTAAAACACACACACGCAGAGAGAGAGAGAGAGAGAGAGAGAGAGAGAGTAATGTGTCTCTGCTTGCTTGACTTCCTCCTCCCTGACTTAAGAAGATGGGGTTTGGGACCAGTAGGTGGCATAATGGTGAAGGCACTGAACTCCCAAGTGGCCGGCTGTAGTTTGAACCCTGGACCTGGAAACTTGAAACTCACACCGGGTGCATGTGTGTGAGTGTCCTAAGTCCCAGGAGAAGAATGGAGGAGAAGGGATCGTGGTGTGGCCACCCCCTCATGGGGTGGGTTCTCTCTCTCTCTCTCTCTCTCTCCCCCTAGCGAGCACATGTGTCCTATAGCAAAAATTTCTCAAAATAAAAAAAAGATGATGGGGTTTTTCCGGGCTGAGAAAGGGGATGTGAGGCAGGAGGCCTGCAGTGAGAGACATACAGTGTGGCGGATCAAAGGAAACCGAAGAAAATGAAACGGAATTTTAATAACAGTTGCTGCGGATGATGTCCTTAGAGTCTCCGGTAGTTCTGGAACCCTTAAGTGTGAGGTTTTGCTGCTGACTATTATTATAACTTTTGTTCTCATACCATATTGCTTCGCCAAGCCACTTCCTAGACTGGGCCTCTGGGTCCCAGGCTCCATAAGATTACACTCGCACGTGAGTGCTTTTTTTTTTTTTTTTTATCAAATGCGTAATACCAAACACTTGGACGCATTTCTCATTTCATCCTCAAAGCCAAAGATGTATGCATACTATTCTATTATCTTGGTCTTATAATGTGAAAACTGCAGCTTGGAAGGTGCTGAAGAGCACCCAGTGGGGTTGGATGGTGGCACAGCTGTCAAATGTGACACCATGCAAGCTGACCCACATGAGGTCCGGGTTTGAGCCCCGAGACCTCCCTAAGTACTCCAGATGGGGGTGTGGGCCCTCTCTGGCTCTCATTTATGGAAGAAACAACCTTTTAAAAACTCACATGGTTGGTAAGTGTAAGGCTGGGTCCTGATTCCATGCCAACCCCTCCATAATGCCCGTTCTTCTCTGCTGTTAGTAGACCCTGACTGCCCAGAACATCGTGGTGTTCGAGGCTGCTGGTTCCTGGGAACCACACACCGTTGGGGCATGCACCTCTAGAATAGTATCTGGTCTGGGGAGCTGCCGGCTTCCACCACAACCCTCCCAGCTTCCCCCACCCCTTTTCTCCTCTTGTTAAAGCAGCAGCTAAGTTCTGGGGGCAACTGGTCACCTCACTTCCTACCATCCATCCATCATTCATTTATTAGAGGTTTTTGCCATAGGGCATGTGTGCTCACTGGAGAGAGAGACAGAGACATGAGAGAGAAAGTGAGAAATCACCCCACAGGGAGGATGGCCACAGTGCAATTCGTTCTCCTTCATTTTCCCCCAGAATCTTGGGCACGCACATGCACCCGGCATGGTTCTCAAGTCATTGGGTCTGGGATTCGGACTGTGGTTGGCCATGTGGGAGTTCAGCGACCTAACCACTACACCATCTGCTGATCCTGATTTATTTTTTGACCTCAGGCTCGAGCTCTGGTCTCTCCAAGAATCTACAGCTCGGCGCTCTCAAACCCCAGTGGCTGATGCTTGCTGGGACACGCTCACAGGGCTGCCAGCCCGGGCCCATCACGTGCTGTGTTCTCTCAGGTCAGCTGGTCTCTCCCTCCTGACCCCTTGGAAGGGGGCTGTACCCCATGTTATATAGGTAGACGCTGACACTTAGAAAGGGGAGGTAACCATGGGGGCCATTTCCACCTTTCTGGGGGGGACATGTAGCCATTCGCATCACAGGTATGTCAGCAAGGACACTGGCTGATTGGTGGCCCCACAATTCCCCTCTTAGGTATTTACCCAACAGGAAGACGTACTTCCGCCCGCCCAAGCACGTGGAAGAGGATGCTCATGGCTGGGCCAGTCCTGCAGCCTCATGGTTAAGGGAGCTGGGTCCCGCATGGCTGACCAGGATTTGAGTACCGGTCCCGGCAGGCTGAAACACACACCAGGGATGTGTGCACGTGTGCCCCAAGTCCCAACAGAATGGGGAAGGAACTGCAGCAAGACCATGTCCCATTGGGGTGCTTTCTCACTGTCCCACCCCCCCCAAGTGCACTTGCCTCAAATTTCATGTGTTTAGCACTGTGACAGAATTAGGAGGGTTAACACTTGATCCAATTAGCATGTGGAAAGATGAGGCCTTTGGGAATAGGAAACAGGGCCCTCAATGATCAGGACGGTCAGGAAGGCAGGGCCCTCCATGATTCGAATCCTGGTGATTTATAGAAGGAAGAGGGACCAGCGGGTGGTTAAGGTGTAGGCCTCCCACGTGGTTGACCACAGTTTGAGTCCTGGACCCAGTAGCCTGAAACTCACGCTGGCCACGTGTGTGTGCGTGCTCAAAGCATTTTGTTTCTTCTCTTCCCTCACCTTGGAAACATCCAAAAGAAGAAATTAGCAATGACCCAGTTGTACTTATCTATGAATGTGCTTTAGGGTGGAACTGATAGCAGATGGCAAATTACCTATTATCTCTAAAAATCCTTTGAACCTTGATTGGAGAGAATATGTAAATGGCTTTCTTTTCCCTGCTCAGAGGGGTTTAGCTGTCCTGTCTGGGATGATAATGCAATCATCTGCAGAAAACACAAATTCCCCAATTAACATCACAGCCATGGGAAACAGGGCCCTCAATGATCAGGACGGTCAGGAAGGCAGGGCCCTCCATGATTCGAATCCTGGTGATTTATAGAAGGAAGAGGGACCAGCGGGTGGTTAAGGTGTAGGCCTCCCACGTGGTTGACCACAGTTTGAGTCCTGGACCCAGTAGCCTGAAACTCACGCTGGCCACGTGTGTGTGCGTGCTCAAAATCCCAAGAGGAGAATGGGGAAGGGATTGTAACAGGGCCACCCCCCTGATGGGGGGTGATTTCTCCCTTCTTGTCTCTCAGTCTTTGTCTCTCCAGAGAGTGCATGCACTCTATGAAAAAAAGTCTCCAAGGAAAAAGAAAGGGAAAGACACAAGAACAGACACCGGACGGCCACTCTGAGATGTGACCAGGACACTGCCTGATGCTCACCTGATGCAGCCCCTGGTACACTTCCAAACTGTAAGCCACATAAATCTCTATTTTTAATAAATCACTCAGTTTCTAGTATCTTCTGCCATTAGTAACAGACAGACTAGCACAGGTGTATAATCATCGTGGACCAGATTTATCTAAGGAGGCGTCTGCAGTTGATTGAAGTGCATGTGTGTGCCCGCGTGCAGGAATGGCATGCGCGCGCACACACCCCACCCACCCTGCATGACTGACGGCACAGGGTTAGGAAGAGACGCTGCGACCCCAGGTCCTATTTCTGGTGCCCAAATCCCCTTCTCGGCAGTAGCTGGGAGAAAGGGTGACTTCAGAGTCCTCATGGACATCCCAGGCCCTGGTGGATGAACCTGCTTTAACTGCACGCACCTGGTGAGTTACTTTCCACTTTGGGCCCCCTGGGGTGACCCTGAGGCCCCCGTAGGGTCTGCCCCATGAGCCCCTGAAACACATCTGCCCACAACATGCCCCCAAGGACCACGGAAGGCCCTGTTCCCAAGGGCTCCAGGGAGGAAAGCTTTGCCTGTTTCCTCACTGCTCACCTCTGAGCTTTCTCTGGATCCCGTGAGGTCACAGTTACCATGGGGACAATCGGCAGAGAAGAAAGGTTTGGGTTCCCGGCAGCTCCAACTTGGTTCCTTTGGGTTTTAGATTTCAGCCTGAGGGCAGGCACACCCTGCTGCATGGCTGCTGGGACTTTCACTGGTCCAACCTTTTTAGGGATGAAGGTGCCCCGCCACTTTGTAACAAAAGGACCTGCAAAAACCTGCAGGGTCCACACACACGGTAGCCGCCGCTGCATGTAGCTACTCAGTCCTGAAGCGAGGGAGGTCAAACCAAGATGTCCTGGAGTACAAATGTACAGTGGCTTTCAAGAACTTGGTACAAAACAGAAGGGAACATCTGAATATGTTCTACATGGGTTATATGTTGAAATGATATTTTAGATACAAGGGACTAATAAAATTTATCTTTTAAATAAATTTCCCCTGTGTCTTTACCTCTTAGAGGTTTTTCCATTTTATGGTTTTTAACACGGCTACCAGAAAACATAGAATTACAGAACATGTAGAAGAGGACTTCGAAAAGATCATGAAAAATGGAATGAAAGAGAATTCAGTTTAGTGCAAAAAAATTTTTTAAAGAATTATTTGTTTATTCATTCATTCATTTTAATTTGACCAGAGAGAGACGCAGAGAGAAAGAGACAGAGGAAAAGTG